CACAAAACACACACACACAAAATTTCATCAAGCTCACCCTAGCTCTCTATGATGCAGTCTGATGTTTCTCTATTTTAAAAAATGCTCGTTGAGACCCACTAATTAATGTTGTAACCTACAAATAGTTAGTGCCCCACTATTGGAAAAGTACCTGTCACTTGTCATGCCGGTGAATTCTTCCCTGTCACCTCTTGCCGTGTAGACATTGCTCCACAGCAATTGTGGGCACAGCAAGCTGTTCCTTCCGCAGGGTTAATGGCCCATGGTGGTGTGCTGAAGGTGGCAGTTTGTAATGTAAAGAGGCTGAATTGTTTGTTTAACAGTCAAGTGACAAATTATTTAATTAGCACATATGCCATTTGTCTCCACAGCTGTGATCATCGGTACTAATTGCAAAGCAGTCTTAATTTATTATAGATATATTGCTCCATGATGCTAATGTGATCATTACAAATGGCCATTATGCCCCTGCACCATGTTTGAAAATGAAAGCAATTCCGCCACACGGGCAAAGCCACTTCCAGCCCCAGCCAATGCACACAGCCACGGCGGTCTTCCAGGAAAGGGAACATTCAAAACAGAAGTGTTCTTTGAAATCTTCCCTTAATAGCTTGGGCCAGGTTGATGCTGAGCGCCACCCGCTTTTAATCCTGAACCTGATGCCACCCTGCCACCTGGAAGACAAAGCACATTGTGGATCTCACACTGGCTACCATGAGATTTGGCCTCTTTGTCCACCTGCCACTTGACAAAAAGAAATTTTTTCTTTCTCTCTCCCCTTAATGAGATCTAATGGGGGAAATCAAAGAAATGTGCCCACTTCTGGACAAATCCTGGAAACCAACTGGGCTTCAGCAGCTTATTAACAAACACCAATAATCAAAAGTAGCAATCCATTATCCCTGGGTACAGGAACCAAGGCCACAGGACAGTTGCCTAGGCTGGGGACGGTGCTGCTCAGGGACTTGGGGCTGGGGGCGGGGCAGGTGACAGGATCCCAGATAGGTGCAGAGTATGCACATGCCAGGTTGCAGAGGGTGGGGGGGAAGTAGCATTATCTCCAAATCTTCTATTAATCATTACATTTGCTGCCAGAAAAGCCATGGGTACTGGACCAGAAAGTTAGTCTTGTTTAAAAATATGGTCCAAATAAAATTGTACAAAACCCATTGGACAAGGGGTTCGGGAACGGAAGGTGAAGACATTGAACTCTGTCTGGTATCATTGGTAACGTCTCCTGGTTTGACCTGGAAGTTCCGAGAAGGACCCTTGAGCACAGCTGGGGCATGGGAACCACATGTTAACCAGCAAAGCCAATTAGCCACCTTTCCGGAAAGCCGCTACCCATCTATATTCTCATTATCCTCTCAACACCCTGAGAAGCAGGCAGAGGAGGCTGTGGATCCTGACAGGTGAGGGGAGGGGGGTGGCCAGCCAGGAGTCACGATGAGGTGGGAGAAGGGTTGCCAAACAAAATGCAGGACTTCCTGTAAATTTCGGATTTGTAACCTGCACATCACTTTTTCATATTGTTTTTCTGAAATTCAGATTTAACTATGGGGGCATCCTATATGTTCATTTGCTGAATCTAGCATTCCTGGGGGGAGGAGAACATGGTAAAGGGGATAAAGGGTAGCACAGCTCTTTCTAGAATCTCGGTCTAAACCTAATACCTCCATCCAACTCCAGCCGGGGACCACAGGGGAAACTTGCACACTCTTCTCCTGAGAGGTGCCTATGGCCACCTGGTGGCTGGGCTTCTCTCTGGCCCCTACTGGTTCCAGCTCCAGGAAATGCCTGCTCCTGAGACCTGGGCTTCCCCCCCTCCCCGGGCTGTCAGGACCCTGCCTTCCCCAGCCACTACCTTGAATAATAGACTTTATTAAATCAGGCAAACGTCAGCCCCACGGCTCAGCTGTAAGTGAACCAGACTATAAGGGAGGACGGATAAAAGTCCCCCTTTGGTAGCATCAGCATAAAAGGGGGCCCAGGGAATAGAAGGGACAGCGGCCAGGCCCTGGCCTTAATTTTCAGGTGGCCACTGGTCAGAACTGTCAGCTGTGCCATCCTCCAGACAGCAAATTGAAAACAGCAAATGTAGCCCTATTCTTTCTTATTTCCCTCCCCCTCCCTCTCTCCCCTTTTTTCTTTCTTTTTTTTCTTGTTCTCTCTCTCTCTCTCTTTTTCCCCTCAATGCAGAATACAAGGCCACTGCCAAAAACATATCCCACACAATCAAACATCAGATGGTGACTCCTTTCCCACAGCTTGTGTGAGTGAAAACAGTGAAATTATACCCATGTTTTTGCGGCGAATCTCCTGGTGTTCTAGCAGAGGCCAGGCCGGCGCTGGCTCTTGTTCGCCCGCTTTTTGTTCCTGTGTTCGCAGTGTTTTTAGCGCTGGACACCATTCAGCCCGTATTCAGCATTGTATGTCACTTCACATATGGTTCATCCGCTCCAAATGTGTGCATGTACCCAGAAAATGCAGCTTTTCATTATGTATTCTCTATGTAACAGAAAAGATTAAGATATAAGCCCAGTGAATGCAGGAGGAATTAGTTGGACAGATGAATAAGGGAAAAATGAATCTAGAATGATGTGGATTTGGTCTAATGATTGTGGGAGGGCGTTAAGAACTTGCTGGTAGGTTTCAGCCCTTTTAATCCCAGGCTGTGTGTGTATTTTGGCAGGAGAAAAACTCTTTCCCAAGTCCATCTTGAAGGGTACAGTCAAGACACAGTCCCCCCCACCCCACCCCCGTGTGTGTGTGTGTGTGTGTGTGT